CCTCTAACTCTTGGGCTCAAGCAATTCTCTTGCCTCAGCCTCCCAAGTAGCTGGGACTACAGGTGCCTGCCACAACACCCACCTAACCTGGCTATTTTTAGAGATGAGGTCTCACTCTGGCTCAGACTGGTCTCAAACCTGTGAGCTCAGGCAATCCACCCGCCTTGGCCTCCCAGAGTGCTAGGATTATAGGTATGAGCCACAGCACCCAGTGACACAGACTGATTCTTATTTATTTATTTATTTATTTTGCAGCTTTTGGCCAGGGTTGGGTTTGAACCCGCCACCTCTGGCATATGGGGCTGGCGCCCTACCCCTGTGAACCACAGGCGCTGCCCCAGACTGATTCTTAGATCCATGAATCTCTCTCCTGGTGTCCCCGAGATGGGTTTTCACCTGATCCTCCATCTCATAGGTGTAACTACTACAAATATAATATATTCCTTAGGAATTGCTCAACAGATGAGGCCTCAGGGGAAACTGGTGTTTGGGGCCCTTTTCGTAGCTGCTCCCAAGTCATGCTGATTTCGAGTTTGAAAGTCAAAAAGGCTGAAGGAGCATTGCCAGTGTTTGCACTTTTCACAAACCTAAGCAGGCTTTAGGAGGAAAAGAATGAGAGACTTTGGAAGTAGAACAGCTCATTCCCACCCCTGACCCTCGTTAATACCCATCTCCCTTGTTGAGTTGGTCAAGGGAGACTGAAAAAGAAGGGCAGGAAGTTGGGGGGAATACTTTGTTATACTTGGAAGTTGAGTCCAGAATTAAAGATGGCCAATGTAAGGTCATCTCCTCCTGTTCTACTCCTAATTGGTAATGATGTGAAATATTTGGTGTTCTGGGTCATATTGGTTCTCTGAGATGCAGAAAGGGAGGATGGCCTTTACTTCCAGGAAAGCTGAAATGAATGAAGCCTTTTACTTGGGCCAAAAGCTTAACTTCTCTGTTATTTGTCTTCTAAAGAAAAATGCCAGATGGAATAAAACTTTTTTTTTTTTTTTTTTTTTTTGCAGTTTTTGGCCGGGGCTGGGTTTGAACCCGCCACCTCCAATTTCTGGGGCCGGCACCCTACTTCTTTGAGCCATAGGCGCTGCCTTGGAGTGAAACTTTTTGTTTCTTACTTAAAACAGGAAAACAAATGGGTTATGGGATAAGTTAAGTTCTTCCTTGATATGAATCTATATTGGTTGTGATTCTTTAGTGCTAAGAACATCTGCCAAATAAAGGATTTTGGAACTGAACTTTATTAGCATTAATAATCTGAAAAGTTACTTATTCTGATTTGATCAGATCTCAATGTAATACATTGAAAAATATTTTTTGCCCTTAATATTATATCTTCAAAGGAAAGGCCAAAAATGAGGTGCTTTTATCTTTAAAGAGCTCCCAATTTGTTAATACCATACAAATTATATTAATAACAATATGTAATACTTCTGTGCCCCCCCTACCAAAGCACCACTAAGCAATATGATTTATATCAATTATATGGTGTGCCTCACCATACAATTGCTACAGAAATGCTGAAACATGAAATATTACATCTTAGGATGATTCAAGTACAGTGTTAGTCTTTATATATGTAGTTTTTAAATTTCCCTTGCTTATTTTTTATTTTTGTTTCCTTCCTTTTTGGTTGTTGTTGAGACAGAGTCCCTCCCTATTCCCTGAGCGGAGTGCGATGGCGTCATAGCTCACTGCAGGCTCAGACTTGGGCTGTGGGCATCCCACTGCCTCAGCCTCCAGAGAGTGGGTGTACAGGCGCTGGGATTACAGGCAGGGGTGGCGCCCTACTGGGTTTTTTGGTTTTGTTTTTGTTTTTTTTTGAGACAGAGCCTCAAGCTGTCCCCCTGGGTAGAGTGCCCTGGCATCACAGCTTATAGCAGCCTCCAACTCCTGGGCTCAAGTGAGTCTCCTGCCTCTGCCTCCCAAGTAGCTGGGACCACAGGCACCCGC